TCTGCCCCCTTGATCAGCCACAGCCCTTTCATCATTTCTTTTTCAATGCAATGAGAATTTAATTTATTCAAACCCCTGCACAATAATTTCAAACCCCTGGGTGATACTTGTTTAGTGAGTACCACCCATATGTAGACTTTTTAAACACATACGCAAGCCATCTTGACAGCCAAATAGTTGTAAAGGGGGCTTGTGTACCTGTTCGGGTCCCATCTGAGCAACCACCCCAACCCCAGTGGAACCCCCTGGGCACATTCATACATAGTAGCACAATAGTTGTGAGTTTCTGACTACTATTAACTATGGCAGCTCGCGCCCCCCAGTAATTACAGATCCACCAACTACACTTGTGACCTTAGGAATTAAAATTGGAACTATTTTTAGTATTCTCATCACGTCAGTACATTCCATCAAACAATGCACCTCACCCCTGGAGAGCAGCTATACCAGGGCGGGTTCGAGCGTAGCTGTTCATCTGCCTGGGTATTTTAGGGCCATTGGGGACTTGGCGTAGTTGTCGAAAAACCAATGGCCCCTGCTTTAAGGGGGGTGGGATTGATATCACACTCGAAATGCCATAGCTGACTCTTAACATTTCTGGCTGCACAGGTACCCCCCCTTTGGAACAAAATTCTCCGCCCTCCCCATCACGTCAGTATCCTCTTTATTTTCTATGAATCAATGCCCCACCCCCTGGAGAGCAGCTATACCAGGGCGGGTTCGAGCGTAGTTGTCCATCTGCCTGGGTATTTTAGGGCCATTGGGGACTTGGCGTAGTTGTCGAAAAACCAATGGCCCCTGCTTTAAGGGGGGTGGGACACTAAATAATTGGTCCAATCTGATGGCTGATTGATCTTTCCATTTTTATGTAGCACAATGGAATCGCCTTGGGACCACCAGATGCGAGGAATGGACTTTGATGCGAAGAAGGAAGCAAGAATGATCCGACAGCTGTGCCAGACCCTCAACCTACAACATTCCCAGGCATGTGTTGAGAAGGTAGACTTTGACCTGCTGGCGGTTTTTCTCATGCAGGAAACGCACTGGAACATCCACATCAGGCAACTGGTTGATATGGTGCTGGACCAATTTGGTCCAAAGGCCCATCCACTGGGCGAACCGCTTCCGGAACCAACTGACAATCATAAGAAACCATTTGCGCCGAGGACCCCCCTGCAAAGCCAGATCCACCATGCAGCCCTTCACGTCAACCAAACCATCAACCAACACACCCAATAGCTCCAGACAAACCCAAACACTCCCCAGCCCTTCTGCCTCTGGTATCCAACCTACGAGAAGTTTGTGGAGTACTCCATTAGCATGGAGAAAAAGTGTAAGCTTTTGCCAAAGGACAAAATGGTTGTGTTGTTGGACGAGGCTGGCAGATGTGTGGGGGTGGCTGTTCCGCCTGATCATACTAAAGAAGATGGGATATTCTTATCACCCCCTGTAAGTGGAATTGATCATGTAACCTCTTCTTAATATTCATATCTTTTAATTACCCCATCTAATCTTGCTAATATTATTCTACATAGGATCGTGCATTGGCTGGCCTGAATGATGCCATTAGGGAGTGCAATTGGAACGAGGCCAAGGACGAAATCGTGTACACAACTGTTCCCCCACTTGGTCCTCTTCAAACTCCAAAACCCCTGGATATGGACAACAAAGGCGAAATCCGAGACCCCAAACCTAAATCCACCCCAGAAGAAGAACCGCCATCACAGAATTCCGCCACCCCTGCCCAACAATCCAAACCCCCTCGCCACCCTCCAAATTGCAAACCCAAGGCAGCCCTGCCACCGGAAGGCTTTGAAGCCCTGGCGCCAAAATGCAAATCCGATGCAGACCCTCCGAATCCCAAATCTACTCAAGGCAAAGCAAAAAAGAAGTGTAAAACATCCAAAGATGTGGAGGACAACAACCTCACCAAAGCCCACCCCGACCCTCTTCCACTGCCAAAACCGCAACTCAATACCAAAGGAAAAAATACGATTTCCTATCAGCCTTATGGATATGGACTGGGAGACGTATGTATTTTAATTATGCACTTACTTATTATTCTTGTTTTTCAATTGTATTGCCATTGCTTTTAGAAAAAATCCACAGGTATGCAGGGACCTCAAGATCCAAGTGACAACATCTGCACAACCCCAAATCGAAGAATCATCACTTTCA